GGGGATCTCGCGTTTTGGCTGGTTTAGGACGCCGCTTCAGCGAACAGAGCAGCGTCAGAGACAACGACGAGCAGTAGTAAGGCAATGTCAATCGAGCAGGACGGGGTCGGTGGCGGCGAGGCAGGTCGGGTTGCTGGCGACTTGGACGACAAGGACGACGACAAGGACGACCAAGACCAAGACCAAGACCAAGACGACGATGAAGACGAAGACGAAGACGATGATGATGATGATGATGATGATGTCGAGCTTAACATGGCCACGTCGTAAGTGCTGGGAGGCTGAACGACCCAAACCGAACTCTGCCAGGTCTCTCTGACTACAAACTCGAACTGTGAACTCAATTGTAGAGCACCGGGAACGCGACCGACACCGGCATTCACACGCCCAGGTGCTGCACCAGTGACACACACGCCAACGACAATCCCGACGGGAGGTGTACTGCCGCCCATTCAACCAGTACAACCGCGAATCGCTGCGTCACAATTGGCAGCTCAGGCAACAAGTATGACAACCAAAAGTTTGGATTGTTCTTTGTTGCTGAGAACTCTGCGAACAGCGCATGGGGTGGTGGTGGTGGGACCTGTTTGTTCTCCCCGTGATCTCTAAACCCTGTGTCACAACAGGTAATCGACTGGACATCAATGCTGTCGGCCAATATAACGACAAGTCTATCTTTGAGTTTGATCTTGACGGAGCTGAAGACAAGCCGTGGCGCAAACCAGGTAGGCAGTCAGCTTTCCAAGTCCCGGTTTGGTCGACTTGCGGCAAGTCGACGTCTCTCTCACGTCATCTCGCAATTTGCCATCTCCACAAACAGGCGCTGATATCTCTGATTACTTCAATTATGGCTTCAACGAGGAGACATGGCAAATTTATTGCGAGAAACAAAAATCCATGCGTGCTTCGGTTGGCAGCTCCGGAATTGGTGTAAGTGCTGGCAACTGCTCGAGTGCACCATCCTGGACGTAGTTGCCGAGGTTGTTTTGGAGGTTGCATTTGCATTTTGTTGCGCATCCATTGATGAATGCTTAACTGTTTTTTTTTTCTTTTTTTTTTTTGTTTGGGACCTGCCCGCAATCTTGCCCGATCCAGCGCACCGTGCCCCCTCTGATTCCGCAGCTTGCCGGAGGAAGCGATAGTATGTATTGTTTCAAGAGTTTGGTTGTACCGCGTGCTGGTTTTTTTTGTGCGTCTCACTAGCCGCGTTCTTGTTTTTGTACTCTACTCAGTCAAACCACTGCGACCCGCTGGTTACACTGACTCCAACCGCATTTCAATAGGACGAGGTTGGTGTGACTGACATGTTGTCTAATGCTGTCTTTCTTTTCTCAAAAACGCAACTTGAACGAATCACGAATTTGCTTTTTCGGATTGGCACAGCAACGCGAAGGGCGGACGAAAGTGCTCTTCAAGTTCTTGGCGGCGATCCTTCGGGCAGCTCAATTCAGTCGCTGGTAAATCTGGACGCCTCGTCCGTGCCAGCACTCCTTCCGCTCGCTCGAAATATGCCCCCTGTGGCGCCTCCGCTCGCGCCTCCTGCGGCAGCGGCGCCCGCACCACTGCAGCCGCTGCGACCCGCATATCCCGTGCCTGCTCCCGGCATGGTGCACCCTGCCATGATGCAAGGCAAGATGCCTCCTCCGCTCATGATGCCCATGATGCCCGGAATGATGCCGCCAGGCATGATGCCTCCAGGCATGGTGCCCGGCATGATGCCCCCAGGAATGCCACGACCACCATGGGCTGCGCAATCGCACGGTAGCAGCAGCCACAGCAGCCACAACAGTGATGATAGCGATCGGTAAGCCTGTTCAAAGGATTGTTTCGATTTTGAGATTGCAGTCACTCATGCTGCAATTCCTCCTCCTGCCACAGGTCTTCCAGCAAACGCTCATCCTCGTCCGAAGACGATTCCTCGCGCAAGCGATCACGTCGCTGAATGTTCATCTGGTTGATTGGACCTTTGGGTGTTGGCGCAAATGTTCGTTTTTTTTTTTCACAATCTATTTCCGAATCCACTTGTTTGAGTCATACTCCTCTTGCGCATCATTTCCATGCATGCATTAACGAGCGCTTGTTCCATGTTTGGCTGCAGTCTTTGAATTTTTTTTTTCTGGGTTGAACACAACATGGGAAAAAAGCGACGAAAGGTGGAGGACGCCCTGTTGTCGTGTGTGTGCTGGTGAGTGTTTTTGCTTGGACGAGCGCGGGATTCTCGCCAATAGACATGAAATCCACCAATTTGACTTTCCAGTCGGGTTGCGTGGAGGAGGCGAGCGCGCTAAGATGAGCACTAAGACGAGCACACGAAACAAGCAGCTGGGATTTGATTCACAGTCGAACCCCCACCCTGCTCTTTTGCGCTTGCGGATGGCTGCTGCTGCTGCTGCTGCTGCTGCTGCTGATACACTCTGCTCTGACGCTCGAATGGTCGACATGTTGGGGGGGGGGGGCGCTTGTTTTCCAGGTACTGCGAGCGAGGCTTCCAAGACGAGACGGCGCTCATCGCACACCAGCGCAACACACACTTTCAATGCAAGAACTGCCGGAAGCGACTGACAACCGTCCCAGGCTTGGTGCGCCATTGCAAGATCGTGCATGGATACACGCTCGGACATGTGGAGAACGCTCTTCCGCACAAGAGTCGACAGGTCGGATTGAACATCACGGGCATGGCGGGCGTCCCTCCAAACGACTCGGACACTGGCAATCAGCAAGATGCGCCATCGGGTGTTCCGTTTGGCGCAAGCGGCTATGGTTATGACTACGAGCACGACCACGACGCGCTGCATGACGATGAGGACGAGCTCAGTCATGAAAAGAGCAACGAAATTTCAAAGCGATTCGCACAGTTTGACCCGCCAGCGTTTGCTGCTGTCGTGGCGCCAGAGCGCCCCCAAATATATACCCGACAGCCAAACGATGGTCTAGTCGCCGACGAAGAGCGAAACTGGTGGGCCGCAGCAGGCGCCCAGCTTCTTCCATTCATGGTTAATGCTTTTGATGCTCATCAACATCAGCAGCATTACCAAGAACCAGGCCCTCCATCGTTTCCGTTGGAGAGACAGCACCAGCAAGGCGAGAGCTCCACCGTCGGACTCGCAATTGCAGAGCTGAAGCTCGCCGCACCGTTCTCTGAAGCGCAGTCTTCCGATACGCTGCTGGTTTACAGCACCCAGCCAACTTCGATGGTAAGGCCGCGGTGTTTCCCAAACAACATGGTGCATTGTTTACAAAAATCGTGACTTGCTGACACTGTTTGGATTACATGGCAGGAGGAGCGCCGTGCATTGCTGCCCAAGTATGGTCGAATGCCAAGCCATCAGCAAGTTGCCGCAAATTGATTGGTGCGGGTTTTTTGTTTTTGTTTTGGCAGGATTGGAGTATTTATTTTGAATATTGGTGTCTCAAATGTAACAACACTCAAATTGAAAAGCATCCCAAAAAAGACAGAGTCGACCACACCCACGCGCGAATAGAAATCCATCAAACACGACAACAGAATGAGAAAGTATTCAACAAAGCCGAAAAGTGGGAAATTGAGGGAGGTGGAAATGCATCGGGCAGCTTTAAAGGAGGGGGCGAGGGGAGAGGGATGGGAGCACGAGGAAGATGTAGAAGAAGAAGAGAGCGAGCGAGGGACAGAACGAAACAACAACAATCGAACGAAAGAGCAACCGAATTGATAGCAAAGATTACACCAAAGATGACAGAAGAAAACATGGAGATAACGTGGTGAATTACAAGAAATAGTCGGGAGTGCGACGAGTAACGTGCGGCTCACCACGACGAGGAGCAGGGTCAAACTGCAAGCTGTGGGGGTGCAAGACAACAAAAAGTAGAAATTGACAAATCGTGAGTCAACAACAAACGCGACGACATTTTCGACACACTTCGGGCCCCCCCGCCTCCCCTCCCCACCCTTTCCGAATAAAAAAGGCTCAATCGTTGGACGTACAAGGTGTACTTGAGATTGTCGTCCAACTCCATGATGGCGGCTTGGTTGCCGCAGCGGTAGCAATAGTTGGGCGCGCTAAAGATGGTGACAACGTTGCGATCGTGGCACCAGTTGTAGCCCTCCATGACAAGCTGGTGGGCACGGGAGACCAAGGTCAGGCCGTTGTTGTGGTTGAACGTCTCGGAAATGTCCTGGCCGAACGTGTAGCCGGCGCCACGGGGAGAGATGCCCCAGCCGCAGCGGTCGTCGGGGTCCGACCAGAGCAGATCGCACATGGGGCCCTCGTGGGGGACCTCTTGGATGCGATCGAGGGCGCGAATGTGGTCGAGCGTGTCGATCGAGGGCGAGAGACCGCCGTGCAAGCAGAAGATTTGGTTTTCGACGAGCGCGGTGAGCGGGAGGTAGTCGAACAGGTCGGTAAAGTACTTCCAGACCGAAGCGTTGCCGTACTTTCGGAGACACTCGTCGTAGAAGCCGTAGACCTGGGTGATTTGTCGGCTCTCGTGGTTGCCGCGGAGAATGGTGATGCGGTCGGGGTAGCGGACCTTGAGCGCCACCAGCAGCGAGACAGTCTCGACCGAGTAATAGCCACGGTCGACGTAGTCGCCCATGAACAGGTAGTTTGTGTCGGGGGCCTTGCCACCAATGCGGAAGAGCTCCATCAGGTCGTGGAACTGGCCGTGCACGTCACCGCACACCGTGACTGGGCAGCGCACGGGCTGGACGTTCGACTCTTCCATGAGGATTTCGCGAGCCTGTGAGACGAATGGATGGATGGATGGAGTGTAATGGAGGCGGGAAGTTTGTGAGTTGACGAGTTTCGAGGCAAAGGATCCAACAAAAAAAAAAAAAAAGTAATTCAAAAACAATAAGGCGATACAAAAGTTCACTAGCGAAACATTAGAAAAAAACACCAGCGAGCCGCATACGCGATGATGAGTGGTTGATTTTTTTTTTTTTTTTTTTTTTGGCGAGATCGCAGTTTTCAGACCATTTTGTCTGCTGTTCACCTTTGCCGTGGTCTCACCATCCGACCAGCCCGGCCTCGTTTCGCTGCAATGCCAAGCACACTCGCTCGGGTGTTGCAGGCAACACGGCCTGCGCGTCCGCCGTCCCCACATCTGGACGAGGCAGCGAAGAACGACGGGTTCGCTATTATTTTATTATTTTTTTGATTTATTTTTCCGTTTTGTTTTTGCTGGTTTTTTTTTCTTCGCTCGTTGCTGCGATGGCACCAGAAGCGCAGCGCCTTCCTCCGTTGCTCATCATTGTGACTGAGAGTGCAAAAGCGCACTTGCAGGACTTGGGGTGGCAACGGACGATGAAGGTCGACCTCCCCGTTTCCCAATTCAAACAAACAAACAAAAACGAGAAAAAAAAAAAGAAAAAAAAAAAAGTCCCGAATTCAAGCGAGCGAGTTCATGAAAGAGCCGCGGACGCTCACGGTGACAGAGAGCAAAAGAGTGTGTGCGCACATGCAAAAGCATGTCTCAGTGAGCGGGCAGAGACCCGTCCCAGGAGTGCAGCGCGAGAACGAGCGAATAATAATAATAATAATAAAAAAACGGCTGGTCATGGCTTGCTGTCTACCTCCACCCAGCTCCAATGCCGCCAGCCCCCAAAGCCAACATGCAGCAGGGATGCGCACGTTTCACCATGCGTTGTCCTATGACAGCGAGCCAGCCAGCAACCCATCCGCAGAGCAGCCCAGCCACTTTTGTGCGACAGTGTTTTTTTTTTTTTTTTGTTTTTTTTGTTCCTTGACGTGCAACAAACTTCATCATGCTCGATCGTTTTTCATGCCGTACCTTGTCGCAGAGCTGCTTGACTTGCGTCTCGGTGAGCTGCTTGCAGGTGTACAGCTGCTCAATCCAATCATCCATCGACGCCATGGCGTGTCAAATTATACAAACTAAAAAAAAAAAAAAAGCTTTTGATAAGACTGGGACTGAGCTTCTGAGAAAGGCAGCGGGGTGACGCAAACGCCAGCAAACAAATGCATGAGATTTACATTTTGGTGATACAATGCATGCTCTCGAGCGCCAGCACCGGCCCTGCCACAGCGAAAGGTGAGCGAGCCTCAAATTTCTCCAATTTCAGATGCTTTCCTCTGTTCTCTCTCCCGTTTTTTTTTGGGCGTTTTCATCGAGCTTGCTGAGGATTCTTCACCAAGTACAAATCGGCCACACACATCCCTCCCATAGACATGAATGCTGGACAACAATCTTGGGCGTTTCACTCTTTTTTTTTTTTTTTTTTTTTGTCTTTACAAAATTTTTCCTGGTTGACAGGCCCAGCACCACTCAGACGCGCAATTCAGCACACATCAGCAAACCCAAAAGCATACAGCCATGGCGGACGAAGAGCGTGCGGTCAAGATGGAGGAGGACTTGAGCGGCGTCGTTGATGCTCGCCTGCCCGAAATCCAATCGCTCTCCGAGGTGCGTTCACTTCTCTCCCCCCCCCTCAGTCAGGCTCCCTGTCACACTGCACACAAAGCAACAAGCACCCTTCCCCACAGGAGAGACGAGCGTGACGAATGGAAGTCGCGTTCAGCACCTTGTCAATGAGAAGCCATTGAGCAACACTCGAACAGCCGAGATCGCGAAACTCTTTCTTCCTCTCTGTTTGACATTGAACCAATTCTTTCGACTGACTCTCTGCGGCCCTGTCTGTCATGTACCCCAACCCTGACTCATCATCACACACGTTTGCTTTTGGGTCTCCGTTTTGCTCTCGCTGGTGATGTGCAGAGCGGCAAGGTGAACGAGGCCGTCGACCAGCTGCTTGCGCTCGAGAAGCAGACGCGCGTTGTAAGTTGCTGCTGCCGAGCGTTCTCGCTGTCATGCATTCATATTGTATTATTGTTGGAGCGGAATCAAAACTCACTGCGGTGCTTGGCGGTGGGACGCGGGCGATCGTCGATAGGCTTGCGATGCGTTGTCGACTGGCCGCGTTCTGGTCGCGATTGTCAGCACTCTGTTCAAAGCCAAGGATCTGAAATCGCTCAACGAGCAAATCATCTTCCTGTCAAAGCGTCGCGGCCTGCTCAAGGGCGTACGTTTCTTTTGTTTTTTCGTGTTCCGGATGCCTTGTGTGGCGGAAATCAGGTTTGCGCTCAACTCTTCTATTGTCATCACTTTTTTTTGTGGTGGTGCAGGCCATCGCAAAGATGGTCCAAGAAGCCAGCACCTATGTGGAGCAGATCTCAGACATGGAGCAAAAGCTCTCCTTGATCGAGACGTTGCGAACAGTCACGGCTGGCAAGGTGAGAGATTTTTTTTTTTTTTTTTTTTGTTTCTGCAAATTTTTGTACGATTGGGCATTCTCTCACCGCGACTCCTCTTTCCTCCCCCTTATCTTCATCTCCATCTCCACAGATCTACGTCGAAATCGAACGCGCTCGTCTCACGCGCACGCTTGCCCAAATCCGAGAGGCGGAGGGCAAGATTGGCGAGGCGGCCGAAGTGCTGCAAGAGCTGCAGGTGGAGACGTTCGGCAGCATGGATCGCAAGGAAAAGGTCGACTTTATTCTCGAGCAGATGCGCTTGTGCCTGGCCAAGCAAGACTTTATTCGCACACAAATCATCTCCAAGAAGATCAGCCCCAAGTTCTTTGACAATCCCGACCACCAGGAGCTCCGCATTCGATTCAACCAACTCATGATCCAAGTCGAGCAGCACGACCGCGACCACATGGCCACGAGCAAGCTCTACCGTGGCATCTATGCCACGTCTGCCGTCCAGAGCGACCCGGCCCAGTGGCACGCTGCGCTCCAGGCCGCTGTTCTCTACCTCATTCTTGCGCCATTCGACAACGAGCAGTCCGACCTCTTGCATCGCACCCAGGCAGACAAGCGTCTGAAGCAGTTGCCCCAGCTCGAGTAAGTAGTGTGAAAGTCAGCCTTTGACAGATTTTTTGTTTGTTTTTTGGAAAGCGAATGTTCATCCCCTTCTCCAATTCGTATTTCGATCCAGATCCTTGCTCAAACTCTTCACGACGGCCGAGCTCATCAACTGGGTTGACCTCGAGGCGACTTACGGTGCCGAACTTCGAAACGGCGACGTGTTTGCAGCAACCGAGGCTGGTGCTCAACGTTGGGAGGATTTGAAGAAGCGTGTTATCGAGCACGTAAGTCTGGCCTTGTGGACAACCCCCCTTTTTTGAGACAGGGAGGGAAGATTTTTGGCTGATTTTGTTTATTTTTTTTTTTACTCAGAACATTCGCGTCATTTCCAAGTACTACACTCGCATTGACGCTGCTCGACTGGCCGAGTTGCTCAACCTGTCTGTCTTGGTAAGGCGTGCACTTGGGTTTGCCTTGTTTTCTCCCTGCTTTGCTCTTTCCCCGCGACTCACTCGTCACTCTCATCGTCACTCTCATCGTCACTTCCAAAGGAATCCGAGAAGCGTCTTTCAGAGCTAGTGGTCGCCAAAACCGTCTGGGCACGCATCGATCGTCCGTCCGGAATTGTCACTTTCAAGGAGGTCAAGGACCCTGCCGAGCGTCTGAACCAGTGGTCTCGCAACATTGACTCGCTCATGCACCTCGTGGACAAGACCACACACCTGATTGTGAAGGAGGAGATGGTGCACCGCATTGCTGCCAAGTAAACAGAACAAAAACAACAAGCCAAATCAAGTTGGTTCTTTTTTTTTTTTTTTGCGGGCAGTTTGTTTCGAGTGTATCTTGGTTGTTTTGTTTTGTGGCAAATGAAGCGAGTAGTCTCTCATCATTTGTATCAAGCCTTTGAGATCCACGCGCCAATTTGTTTGCTTGAAGCAAGCGAGCGGCACAGAACAAGATGCGAGCTGCAAACGAATATCTTCGCCGCTTCTGCCTCTCTGCTTGCTTCCAAACCAAAATTCCCGAGCACTGCATACTGTCATCTCGTACATCCTCACCACTCTCAGACACCCTGACACACTCTGGAACATTGAATGAGAAAAACACACTTCGAGGTGTTTTTTTTTCTCTTCACTCTTTTTTTTTCAAACAAACTCAAACCATGGACGGATCTCAATCTGGTTCCCCCGCCGACGCTGTCAAGCGCCCCACTTTCATCCTCAGCGCCCTCAACTGGGTACGCCCCCCCCCCACTGCTCTCTCTTGTTCGCTCGCTCGGTCGGTCTCTTGCTCTGCTTCCCCAGCCACACGAGGCACAGTCAATGGAAAAAAAACAGCAAACAAAAACTTTTTTTTTTTTTTTTCGCTTCCTCCCTTTCAGCCGTTCTTCTTTTGCGTGCTGCTGCTGCCATCGCGACTGCCAGCGGCCATCGCTGCGCCAACCGCGCTCTTGCCTTGCCCACTCGCTTGCCTGCCACGCCACGCGTGTCTGCGTCGCCGTTCTCGTCGTCGCTCGCCCGTGCAGCGAAAGCGAACGAAAGCACGAGATCACCTCTTTTTTTTTTTTTTTGTATTTTATTTTATTTTATTTTCCCGCCTCCTTCCGTCTCTTCCTTTCTCCGTTCTCTTTTGCTGCCATCGTCGCCAATGCACGTCCTTCGTCATCTCGTCGACGACCAGGCAACACGCGCGCTGCCCTTCCACCTCGCTCTGCGCCTGCCATCGGCTGCCCAAAGCGACAATGACGCACGGCTCGTGTGAGCGTTTGTTTGCTCATCGATCACAAGCTTTTTTTTTCTTTTCTTTTTCTTTCTCTTTTGCTATTGTTTTTCAATATTGGATTTTTGAAAAAGCGACAATTTCGTCACACTCGGGGAAAAAAAAAAAAAAAATTCAAAAAAAAAAAAACACTTTTTTTCAAGTTTGATTTATTTCTGTTTGGAAACAAACAACCATCGTCTTGTTTCGAGACGTTTGAGAACTGCATATTGTCACCCGTCACGTAGAAGCGTGAGAGAGACAGAGACAGAGAGAGAGCGAGGGAGAGAGAGAGAGAGAGAGAGCGCGTCGACTTCAAGCAGTCTGCCCAAGAAACTCAGAAAAACCATCAACACTGATGCTCTACGTTGCGATGTCCTCTGAACTTCTACAAATCTCACTTTATGCTTGTTTTCGGTTATCGTTATTATTATTGTTATTTTTTTTTGTAGCTCTTCGCCATCATCGTCTTCGGATGCATCGCCGACAAGGTCAAGGTCTCTGGCGGCTGCTACTATGACCTCGACGACAACGCGTGCGGCTACGGCATTGCGATTGGCGTTATTGCATTCATTGCTGCCTCGCTGTTCATGCTCTTTGAGTTTGTCGGCGACCGTTTCGGTGCCCTCCAAAAGTTCCTGACCCTCTTCACCCTCGGCTTCTCTGTTCTCTGGACTTTCCTCTGGTTTGTCGGCTTCTGCTACCTCACCGACAAGTGGGTCAAGTTCGACTTCAAGGACCAGGTCGAGTCGGACGTCAAGAACAACGCCCAGGCTGCCATTGCCTTCTCCTTCTTCTCCATCATCACCTGGGCTGCCTTCTCCTTCCTCACCCTCAAGAAGTGGCGTCTTGGTGGCCAGGCCGTCGACAACAGTGCCCCCGCCCCCTACACCAACTACCAGGCCGACACTGGCAACAACTTTGCTCCCCCGCCGTTCCAAGGCGACCAGAGCGGCTATGCCCAGCCATCGACCGGCTACGGTCAGGCCTAAAACCCGCAGCACTGTGCGACAGCTCGAGTGTGCCAGAGCATCACAAACAAATCCAAAAAAACAAAAAAAAAAAAGGAGGGAACGGAAGAGAGAGCGTGGCGCGGTTGCTGGGCGATGCGGTCGTTCTTTGATTGTCGCTTCTTTTTGCCAGTTTGTGTCTTCCTGTAGTATTTCCGAACGGTTGTTTTCTTTTTTTGCCTGTTGTCGTGAATGGCCTGTGTTTTTCTGCCCCTTTTTGTTCGCCTCGCATTAAAGCAACCAGCACTTTTTGAAAAGCTACAAGAATTTCGCCGCTTCCCATTCATTCCAGTTCCAATTGATGGTTGTTCTGATGCACGTCACGTCTTTGAGTATTTTTCTCGGCATTGTCAATGTTTCCTGCACCATCGCAACACATAGCTACAAGCGCTTCTTGCAGGGCGAACCGGCAGCGAGGCAGGTGTACCAGTCGCCAACCGCGCACTTGACTTCCTTGAGCGACGCGTCGCATGGACAGTCGATTGCACGAGGAACGCAGTGCTTGTTGTCCTTGCACCGGAAGCAGTCTGGCAATGAGGCGGGGGAACGGCAAGTCATCAAAAGCCAAAAAGTCAGCAGAGATCTCCACTCACATCCGCATCGCCTCGTTGCTCACTCACCATTGTCAAACTGGGGCTGTTGTTGCTGTTGTTGCTGTTGCTGTTGCTGCTGCTGCTGCTGCTGGTCGCCGCCAAAGAAGCCGCCGCCGTCGCCGCCAAAGTTGAACTGGAACTGCGCGGCCGCCGGCTGCGACCCGCCAAGCACGAGCACGACCGCCACAATCGCAAGCAGCGCAAGCGTCAATGGCCGAACAATCATCTTCATAACAAACGAGGGTTTTCTGTTTTGTTGAGTGTTTTGGGGTTGTTGGAGGTTCAACGAAAAAAGTAAGACTGAAACGAAACTGAGAAGCTGAGCTTGTGCGCTCGATTTGGACTGTTCAGTCTTTTGGTCAATGTCAACATCGAGTCAAATGTCTGCTGCTGCTGCTGCTCCAGCACCGAACGAGGAAAACCGTCTCGTGAGCCCTTCTGAAGTCGACGAGCAAGTGCTCAGCAGCTGGACAGAGTGAGTGGGAGAGAGAGAGAGCGAGAGAGAGCTATCAACAAAGCTCAATCAAGTCTGAGCTTTTTGGATGCCGCATTTCAGCGACTCACTGCGAAACTCAACAATCCTTGCAACAGCGAGCAGAACAGACTGAAAGAGCGCCTGGACACGACAGACAATGCCACTGGGTTTGCGCCCGTCGGTCAAGGCGAAGCGGGTGAGTTGCTGATGATGATGATGCGAATCTGTGTGCGCGTTGCGTCACTGCGCAGCACTCGGCCCTGGTCGTTGGACCCGGTTGCGCACTTTTGATGGATGGATCGCTTCTGGAGTGTCTCAACCCCCTTTGTTTGTGGGGAACAGAGTCGGCGACGGATGGACTTGGATTGCCGCCGCTGCGTCTCGTTGGTGGAGTGGACATTAGCTTTGTCAAGGGCGATCCGAAGGCTGCATGCGCATCGCTTGTCGTGCTGTCCTTCCCGGAAATGAAAGTCAGTCTGATGATGCAATTTCTGAATGTTCAAAACAAAAAAAAAGGTTGTATGAGGGTTTGTTGGAGCAAACAAACACCTCAACCCGCCTCGTTTTTGGCAGGTTGTTTACGAGAATTTCGAGATGGTCGAGCTCACGCTCCCGTACATCCCGGGGTTTCTTGCATTCCGCGAAGTCAACTTTCTGGTAGCGCTGTTGGATCGTTTGAGAGCCCAGCAGCCAGAGCTTCTTCCACAGGTAAGGGTTTGCATTGAAAGATGTTGATGGCCAGTTTTCCTGGAGCATGCACTTGCTCACTTGGCTGCGTTTCTGTGGCATCGCCATCAACCGATCCAGCTGATCTTTGTCGATGGGAATGGCGTCTTGCACCAAAGAGGTAAGGGCGAAATGATGGTTGTTGGGTTGATTTTCTCTTTTGGAAAGCAGTGTCAGCCTCGATGCATTTCGGCGGTCCAACGACTATATATTGACCGTGCTTGCTCGACATTCACAGGATTTGGTCTGGCAAGTCACCTCGGTGTGTTGGTCGACATCCCAACAATCGGCATTGGCAAGACCATTTTCCACGTCGACGGCATTGACATGAATCACGTCAAGACTATGGTGGTACCCAAGCTTAGTCACAGTGGGGCGACAGCCAAGCTAGTGGGCATTTCAGGTCGAGAATGGGGAGCGGTATGCACTTTGTTTTTTCTGGGGGATTCAGCCGCATGAATCGATCGGACTTGCACTTCTTTTCAACGCACTCATTGAACTGCTCGACTTCTATCATAGGCGCTTCGAAGTACCGAGGACTCGACAAACCCAGTGTTCATTTCTGTTGGCCATCGCATCTCCCTCGACCATGCCATCCGAATCACCAAAACGAGTTGTCTCCATCGCATCCCAGAGCCTGTTCGTCAAGCCGACTTGCGATCAAGGCAGTATCTTCGAGATCATCCTTATAGCAGCGGGGTTGCGAAATGATCCTGCCGCTGCGAATAATGCGACATGTTGTCTGTTGATTTTGTTGATTTTGCTCATTTTGTTGATTTTGTAAAAATTGTAATTGTCTGAAAAACACACACACACACACACACACACACACACACACACACACACACACACACACACACACACACACACACACACACACACACACACACACACACACACACACACACACACACACACACACACACACACACACACACACACACACACACACACACACACACACACACACACACACACACACACACACACACACACACACACACACACACACACACACACACACACACACACAAACACACACAAACACACGAACGACACAAACTTCGTTCGATTGAAATCACCACAAAGCTGTTCACAACGAGGCACTGGCGACGACTCCTTCAGACTTGGCCATGCCGAAAAACACGGTGGAGGGATTGGCGAGCAGCTTTGCTGGCGTATCAAACTCGACAATGCGTCCAGCGTCCAGCACCATGATTCTGTCGACACAAACAAGAAACCAACCACCACAAAAAGTGAGAAAAAAGTGAAATGAAAACCAACAGAGGAAAAAAAAAAAAAAAAAAAACAATCGCTACATCGTCATCTCAAAACCCTTTATACCTGTCACTGTCCAAAATGGTGTTGAGACGATGGGCAATGGTCAGAACAGTGCAGTGGGAAAACTCGGTGCGAATGGCCTGCTGGATGAGCGCATCGCTCTCGACATCGAGCGCGCTGGTGGCTTCGTCGAGAACGAGAATGCGCGTTCGTCGGAGGAGCGCACGAGCCAAGCACATGAGCTGGCGTTGACCAACACTAAAGTTGTCGCCGCCTTCGTTGACAGGAGCGTCCAGCCTGAGGTCGAGGGCTTGGATGGCCGGCTTGAGATGCGCACGCTCGAGCGCCTCCCACAGACGCGAGTCCTCGTACTGGTTGAGGGGGTCGAGGTTGCTGCGCACTGTGCCCGAAAACAGGACGGGGTCTTGCGGGATGATGTTGAGATTGCGGCGCAAGTCGTCCAGTCCAATCGTTGAAATGTTGATTCCGTCAATGACAATGCTGCCGCCAGCAGCCTCCAGCAGGCGGAACAGGGCGAGCGTCAACGAGGTTTTGCCGGCGCCAGTGCGACCGCAGATGCCAATCTTCTCGCCGGGCTGGATCTCGGCATTGATGCCGCGCAGCACAAGGTCCAAGCCTGGACGGTAGCGCACAGCATAGTCCTTGAAGGAGATGGCGCCTCGATCGGGCCAACCGATGGAGGGACGCGCAGTGTCAACAACGCGCTCAGCCTCCGAGTCAATCTCGGCGTACTCCTTGATGCGCTCCACGGCAACAATGTTCGTCTCCAACTCGCTGGACATGCGGACCATCCAGTTGAGCGTCTGGGTGACTTGCAACGCGTAGCTGATGGACAGACCCACGAGACCAGGATTGACAGAGTCGCGGCCGAGCACGGCAAAGAGAGCGGCAAGGAGAACAATCAGATTGCCGATAAACTCGAGCCGGATGGCGAGCCAACGGTTGGAGGCAATGGACGGGTAGTAGGCACGCTGGTTTTCGTCAATCTTGGTGGAGTTGTCCTGCATAAACCGCCTGCGCTGGGAATAGGCGCGAATGGAGCTGACGCCCGTCAAAGTTTCCGAAAAGTGCGCATAGATGGGCGAGCGCGAGACAGAGTCGAGACGCTTGAGCTGGCGCGAGGTTGCGACATAGAACCGCTGAATGGCGACATACAGCACGGCCAGCGGCAGCACAGCAGCCAAGAAGAGTGGGGTCGAATAGGCAATGACAATGACAATGGACGCAACACGGAAAATCATGCCCAAGAACGATCGCAGCGAGGACGGGATGGTTTCGTCCAAAATGTAGACATCCTTGCTGAAGCGGTTGACAATGCGACCCATGGGCGTCGTGTCAAAGAAGGCCATCGGGGAGCGCAAAACACGGTAGAGCATGGACTGGTGCATCATCTCGGACGCGTGGATGGAGCTGAGCGCTTGGACAAAGGTGGCGAAAAACACGGTGATGGCGTTTCCGATGCCGAGCGCCGCATAGATGCCGAGATAGTAAGGGTTGTCATTGCTGGTGGCGACAGGGTCCTCGTCGGACGAGTCGCTCCAGTGGGAGAGCCACAGGTTGGAGCCCACTTGCAGAGCCTGGCCCACAATGTACATGCCGCAGATGATGGCGCACAGCCAAAATCCGTTGGCGCGCATATAGTCCTTGTAGACGCTCATCTTGACGCTGCCAGCCTCCATGCCTTCCTTGGCAACGAGCTGGTTGCCGGCTGGCTCTGTTGTCTTGGCCGCCTTTGTCGGGGCTGCGTCCACTGCCTTGCCGTCGGGCGCCTTGGCATCGCCAGGCTTGGCCTCGTCGGCGCCTGCTTCCGCGTCGGCGGCATGCTTCCGCTGGGATTCGGCCTCGGCCTCAGCGGCATACTCGGCCAAAAAGCGCGAAAAGTCCTGGCCGTCCTCCTTGAGACGCGAGTACGAGCCCGACTCGGTGATGCAACCATCGCGCACCACAACAATCTTGTCCATTTGCGGCAAAAACCTCACGGAATGCGTGACAAGAATGCGAACCTTGTCGCGAAGGATGGAACGCGAGCCCAGGACGTTGTCGAAAATGTGCTTGCCAACGTGCGCGTCGACTGCGCTGAGCGGGTCATCCAGAATATAAATGTCACAGTTTTGGTACACGGCGCGGGCAATGCTGACGCGCTGCTTTTGGCCACCACTGAGATTGATGCCCTTCTCGCCAATTTCCGTCAAATCGCCACCAGGAAGCATGTCCAGATCCTGCTTGAGCGCGCACGCATCAATCACACGTGCGTAGCGATCGGGGTCGTAGCGCTGGCCAAACAGAATGTTGTCGCGCAAGGTGCCGTTCTGAATCCACGGTTGCTGCGGGACGTACGCGACCGACCCAGTCACATAGACGTCGCCGCCGGTCTTTTCCATGTCGCCCAACAAGGCAGCGACGAGCGAGGACTTGCCGCAGCCCACACGGCCGACAACGGCGGTGAGCGTGTTGTCGACTGCCTCAAAGTGAATGTTCCGGAGGACTGGCTCGGGCGACTCGGTCGTCCATTTGAACTGGCCATTGCGGACGAGCACGCGCACCTTGCGCGCAACAGAGACACCCGCAGCGCCATTGTTCGACGAGGTGCCATGGGGGTCGACGGGTACCATGCGCGTATCGTCCATGTCGCGGGGCAGCGCGCGCATCACGTTGGAGGACTTGAGCTCGTCGAGCATGAGGAACTTGATCAGGCGCTTGTTGGAGACGCTTGCCTCGACGACCGAGCTGAGCAAGAAGGGCAGCATGGACAAGGGGAATTGGAGCAGGTTGAACAGCGCAAGTGCCACAAAGGCCTTCTCGGCTGTCAGGTCGTTGCCGGTCGTGGTGTAGGTGATGAATGTGGCGAGCGAGACGAGGAAAGGCGTGCACGTCCAGGCAAACGCCGCAAAGGCATTCAGGTAGCTGGTGGTCTTGAGCACCTTGAGCTCGCGGTCGCGGACAACCTTGACCATGAGCATGAACGGCGACTCCCACGCGTACAGCTTGAGGACCTTGATGCCCGCGAGGATTTCCGACATGAGCTTGATGCGCGAGTCCTTGTTCTTCATCTGGACCTTCTGCAGACCACGCATGCGCACGGCAATCAGCGCGTTGATCGGGATCATGAGAATCATGACGGCCACTCCGGCAAGGATCGAAAGGCCCATCGCATCGTACAAAAAGTACAGACACAAGGCAATCTGGTACGGGCCCGACCAGAGAATGTGCAGGTAGGTGGTGAGGTCTTGGAAGCGCTGCGAGTCCACGCTCATGAGGTTGACAATCTCGCCAACGGTGGCAGACTGGCGGCTCGTGTTGCTCAGCACCAGCGCCTTGCGGTAGACGGCGGCAGTGAGACCGCTGCGGATTTGCATGCCGGAACGCATGCATCGGTGGAAGTACTGGTGCAGGATGAGGGACTGCAGAATGGCAGTCACAAACATGCCAGCGCCGTACGCGTAGCCCTGCCAAACGGGCGCGTTCGTGTCCTTGATGAACAGAATCATGCTATCCAGCAGCTGCGGCGACACAAACCCCAGCGAGTCTTGCGCAATCTTGAACAGACCAGCAAAGAAAAAGGTCTTGCCGAACGCGCGGCCAAGGGCGCGGTACATGGACGGGTTTTTGTAGTTTCGCTCGATGTTCCACGAATGCTCAAACTGGTCGGCCAGCACATCAGCGTGGTCCTGTTTGTTCAAGCTCCACAAATCCTCCTGCTGCAAGTCGCGTTTGTAGCCCAAGCGGACCAGCCCGTTGACCCACCAGAATGTCAAGTTGGAGAAGAGAGAGGCCTTGGCTTCCGGGCAAGCGTTCTGCGGCAGCAGGTTTTCAAAGAGGGAGGGTGGATGAGAAACGAACCAAAAATTACAACAAAAAAATACGAAAAACCACCCCCAAAAAAAAAGTGTTGTACTCACCGCATCCTCGTCAATCGAGCTGTACTCGCTCTCACGCTCCGGCAAGACGGTGGTAATCACGGCCAAGAGCATGAACGCATAGTAGACAAAGAATGAGACGAGTCGGAAGTGGTCGGCCGTGTCTGCAATGAGCACCAGGGTTCGGAACTTGACAGCACCAGCCGCGACCGAGCACAGCCAAAAGATGGAGATGGTCGACGACATGTGCTGCCCGTGGTTGCGCTCATTCCAGAGCACAAACGGCACAATGAGTTGGCCCAAGAACATGCAAATGACGTAAAACAGGTGGTAGTCGGCCTGGACGGCGGGATCGCCAATGCGCACTTCATGGGCGACCTTGATCATCTCGACCAGGGTGACAATGATGAGGGCAAAGGACACGAGCTGTTCGTGTGGGGGGGAGTACAAACAACCATTGGTCAAGGAGGAGAGTTAACAAATTTTTTGGTGAGTAAGAAGGCGACAAGCTCAACAATGGGGGAAAGCTGGTTGGTTCCAAAGTACAGACATCAATGTACAATGGACGCAATACTCTCTGCACAACAGTAACAACCGTTGTTGTCAAGAAGGCTGAACGTTGCCACCTCAGCTTCAATTTTGATGCCAAGAGTCTCCTTTCTTCCGCCCTTCCTGGTGCCTTCCTGGTGCGTTCCTTAGATTCCTTGACCAGGTTGGTTGGTCGAGGTGCATTGGAATAATCCACAACCACAAACCACGACCAGGATGTTGCTTGCTCGGAGCGGCAACTTGCTCGCCTTTTCCTTCTCAGACCTCCACCCTCCACCCCTCAAATCCAGCGCGGCTTGCTTCACTGATGTGCAACTATGCACCACGAGCTTGGAGCCAAACGTACCAGCTGGGAGCGATAGACCCACGAGATGGAGAGCTCGTCTGTTCGCGGGAAGCAGCGCACGAGGTAGTACCAGCGCAGCAGGCCGATGACCAGGACGAACGCGACTGGCGTCAGCATGATGACCACGTCTTCAAAGCACGGTGTAAAGTCCACGCGCGTGGCATTGTCTGGCAGCGCAGGGCCCTGTCAAGAAGAAGAAGAAGTCGAACGCAACCAAACGGTCAGTTCAAAAGCGCACCACCGCATCGAGCAGAGTCACGGTCGCGGAGCACACACACACACACACACTCATACACTCATTACGCACTCACTACGCAACCCGTGCACAGCGAAGAAGGGCGTGAAAAATCAACCAGCAGCAGCAAGAACAAAGACCAGGATGCAGTGCGGAAAATTTTGCCAAGAACGGAGGTTTTTGGGGCAGTTTATGGGAAACGAAAATGCGGCGCAGCAGTGAACGGAGCCAAAAGCACGGAGCAAAAAGACGTAGATCTCACAAGCACGAAAAGAAGACAAAACGCAGAGACAAGAGCAAGAGAGAGGGAGAAGAAGAGAAGAAGAAGAAGGGGAAGAAGGGGAGAACGGAGGCAAAAAAAAAAAAAAAAAAATCGAAAGAAGAACAGGTCCATGCGGCTCGCTGCTGTGATGTAACAGTGACGCCTCGAGCAAAACACACCCAAACACACTGATGCACACACTGATACACACACATCTACACACTCGAATATGACGAGAGGGAGAGAGAGAGGGAGAGAGAGAGGGAGAGAGAAAGGACGGCAGATTTGGTTGCTTTTGAGCCAACTTCATCACTCACCCAGGTGCCAGGACCGCCGCAGAACGAGTCCATACAGAAAAAGACAGCAACGGAAAAAAAAAAAAAAAGAAGGAGTGATGTGTGAATTATTATTGTTCTTAAATCGAGGATTTGGCTGCTGAGCGCAAAGTGTTGTGAGCTCAAAGTCAATGGTGGCTGACTCAACAATAACACAGCCAGCCACTCACACACTCTCAACCCGAACTGACATTCAGGATACTGTACATCTACTTTGACAACTAACTTCTACTGCGACTCTATGATTTCACACTTGAACGCTCCAGTTCCGACTCTGACTCAGACAGTCCAAGTTTCTTTTTGGATTTTGGTTTGTCCACCTCCAACTCGTTCCCTTCCACTTGACTTTGCACTTGGCTTTCCATCTGAGTGCGTTCGTATCTGAGTGTGTGTGCGTGCGTGCGTCGGTGATTTTGCAGCAACGTCGACTGTGGACCTGTCAACTCAGCCACTACCCAACCCCCGTTTTCGCGCCAAAATGGCGACCCAGCTGGGGACGTCCACTTCCACCTGCGTCGTTCTGAGCGTCCCTGCGTTCCAGCTCCAGATTGCATGGTGGCAAGCGTAGGACAGGGTTGGGGTTGATGAGGGGAGGTCGAACCAAGGGAGGTTCGATGGTGAGATCTCTGCAGTCAAAGGACAGCCGGACACGCCACAGCCAGCCGATGCACGCACATGGCTTGGATTTAGAACGCAACAAACGACGCTGTGAACGCCCGTCCGAGCGGGAGTCGGTGGTGATGGCGGTGGCTTCAACATTGGACTTTCCAAACAGCCAGCTCGGTCTCCAATGCAAAGGCCCAGCAAGTCTCCAACTCACAACCCAGGGTTCCAATGCGCGCGTGTTGCGACGTGGACTTGTTGCTCACTCTTATGATTGTTTGTATTGGTCGATCATCCGTGGACATTAGAATCTTCGCCCGCCCCACAAGCACTCAACGACGCGAGCCAGACAATCACTCACTCGGTGTGCGCCTGCTCCTCCTCCTCGTGCCCAATGCCGAACGTTATCGAGCATTTGGTAGGCGGCGGCAAGCAGTGCAACATCTGCTTGCTGAAAAGTCCGAGCTCCTGGGACGACAACGAGGACGAGCCAGACTATTACGACTCGGATTCGTCTGTGGAGGCCGATCGCGACGTGTCGATTGACTTTGTCACTTGCGCCGCGCCATCATGCAAGCTCGTTGTGCACCGCGGATGCTACGGCGTGGCCACGTACGATAGCTCGCGGCCGTGGTATTGTGATCCGTGCGCTGAAGAACTCGCATGGAATCGGTTTATCAGCGCAACATCCCCGTCCTGTGCCCCCGTGAGTACGACTAGCGAACATTCAGAAGCAGCAGCAGCAACAGCAACAACATCAGCAGCATCAGCAACATCAGAATCATCCCCGCCCGCCCCTACCTCGGCTGGAACGGATGCAGTGTCAAATTTGCTCGGCATGTTCGAACAGGCAACCCCGTTCCCAAAACCAAAGTGTCTGCTTTGTCCCAACAGCGGAGGCGCCTTCAAGCGCACCGTGGTAGGGGACTCGTGGGTCCACGTCATTTGCGCCCTGTGGGAGCGCCAAGTCACCTTCTCGGACAAGCGCAACATGCTGGGCGTCGACACGGACGGCGTCGATGATTGGCGATGGGGTTTGCCTTGCTCCGTGTGCCAATTGTATGGCCGCCCACAGCAGGCGTGCTGTGCCGGGTTGTGTGTGGACTGCGAGGTGCCTGGTTGCGAAACCCGGTTTCACGCCACCTGCGGCCAAAATTACAACTTGCTCACACTTGTCGAAGTCAACAACTCGGCCGGTGAGCTCAAAACTGCGTTTCTCGCGTTTTGCGAAAAGCACAACTCGCGGTCGCGGCACCAGCAGCACGCTCTTGCCGCGTTGAAGGAGTCGGAAACCGCTGCCGCCTTGGACGATGCGTCGCTCCCGCGGAACATGTTGGCCTTGCAGCAATGGCAGCAACGAGGTCGAGGCGCCGCTGACAAGGCCGGCCGACGCACTGCCGCGAAAGCACCACGCCGAAGCACGCCGTCCGCCCAGTCCGGGCCGCGGCGGTCGAGACTTGCCTCAACATCGTCGCTCCACCGCGAATCTTCCGCTTCCTCGTCGGACGGCTCGTCGTCCTCTGGCGATGACGAGGAAACCGCCGAGCACCCGTCCCAACGAGACCGCAAGCCAACAGCAACAACAACAACAACAGCAACAACAACAACAACGCACGCGCCTTCCGCGAGCACGGCAGCGAAAGGAGGGCCGCCCGGTGCCTCTCGCAAGCGACCGTCAGCCAAGGACTCTGCCACCACTCCAGACGCAGAGGCTGCGGCTGCACCCCTTCCCCCATCCATTACAGCTGCCATTCAGGCCCTTGTCGCCGCCTCGGCGGCCCAAAATGCCGCAGCCGCCAGTTCCAATGCCGCGAGCGCAAACGCTTCTGCATCCTCTGCCTCCGCATCACCTGCCCCAACAGCCAAACTGCTGCCCGCGTCGAAAAAGAAGCGGCCAGCGGTCATGCCATTGCCGCCAGGCCTGCTGCCCGCCATGAGCGACAATGCAGCAGCAAAGGCCGCGACCCCAGCTCCCGCTCCCATGGAAGGAATCGAGTCCACCACCAGCCGAGCACTAGCGCAGCCAGGTGAGGCCAGTGCCATCCCGCAGAAGCGCGCACTCGACACGGATTCGTCTGCAGCTGCCACCGACAGCAAGCAGTCCAAGCGCCCGCGAACAGAGAAGGGCGAGGATTCTGCTGGCCTTGTCGCTCCCGATCAGGGCGAGTCAGCAACCTTTTTGGTGCCACCTCGTGCGCGGTCGTCCTCCAGCACAGGCAGCGTCGATCCTGCTTCTCTTCTCATGTCACTCGCCACCACGAGTTCGACCGAGGCCGTCTCTTCCGCTCCCAAGGAGAATCAACCTGATGTAAATCGCGCGACCACTGGCTCCAAGACTGAGCGCCGTTCGAGCGTGTAAGAATTGTGTTTGCAATTTGATTGCCACTAGTTTGACCGATTTGTCCTGACATTTCTCTTTTTTTTTTTGGTTTCTGCTTGCTTGCCTCAGAAATGCATCGGAGCTGGCCCCTGGCACAGCCATGACGGTAGAGCCTGCCGGCGCGACCAACCCGTCCCGCGCATCCTCGTTTCCAGAGCAACTGCGCACCTTTTTCATTCGCCAAATGCAAGAAACGCTGCGGTTTGTGTCCACCCATTTAGAAACGGACAATGAGGCGCGGATGACCATGCTGAAGGCGCGTTTGGCGGCGCTGGCATCCAACACCAGCGAGCTCAAGCAGCAAATCACCGCACAGCAGCAGCACGTCCAATGGCTGCGCGACTTGCGTGATGCGTTGCAAGCCGAGGTTGGCGAGCGTCAGCACGCCTCGGCAGTCTTGCGTCGCCACCGCACCGACTTGCTCGTCATGTACGGCTTGCTTGATCGATCGGCGCTCGCCACGCTGGCGCCCGACCAGTTGGGTGCTGCTGTGGATTTGGCTTGTCAAGCTGTTTTGCGCACGGACGAGTCCACCTCCACGTCGCCACACGACCTGCGCGTCGCGATTCGGGACGCGCTTGTTCGAGCCGCGCAAGTCGAAGTTCCGCTGCCTTCGCTCCCTGCGAGTGGGTTTCCTGGTTCTCTTGGTGCCACAGCTGCGAGCTCGTCAACAACTGCGCTCACGCCTGGTGGTGGTCAGCCAACCGAGGCGACGACAACCCCGCACTTGACGCTGACTCTGAACGCCAGTGGAGCTCGAATGAATGTTGGAGGACCAGCGGCGTCTCCATCAAGCCACTCGAACAAGGCAGCGAAGCGCATGGCTGCAGCTGCGGCCGCCGCAGCTTCCGCCTCTGCACCATCAGTAGGAGCCGGAGTTCCTACGGCGTCAACGAGCGCGCCCACTGCAAACCCTTCGGCTGCTCCCTTGACTGTGCTCCTTCCGCAACAGCCATCTGGCACAGGCATTCTCACCCCGAACGCGAATGTGCACTACATTCTGAACATGCCTGCGGGAGGCACTTTGGGGACTCCGATCGCTTCGCCGCGAGATGCAGGGACCATGTCCCTTCTTGGCGTCCCGCTGGCAAAAACTTCTTCGTATGCGACAATGGCTGATTCTGCCACGACTACTTCGGCAGCAGGGCAACACGGAATGTTGACTCAGGGCCAGCATGTCTCTCCACCAAAGGCTGTTCATTCTCAGGTCCTGCCGCAAGGCGGTTATTCCCTGACTGTTCAGCAGCAGCAGCATCTGCAGCAACAACTTCAGCAGCAGTTGCAACAGCAACAGCAACAGCAACATCAGCAACAACAGCAACAGCAGCAGCAACCTCCGCAGCAGCAGCAACCACCGCAGCAGCAGCAGCCTGCCATGCTGATGCAACAGCACCAACCCATCCACGGCTTCCCACCAGGTCAAGGCCATTCGCAAATTCCTCCACAGGTCTACCAGACACAGGCCCCGGCGCAAGTAATGCAGTCGCAGCCGTATGTAGTTTATGGAAATCGCCTTGTTCAAGGACCTCCACGAACCATGTCACCCGTGCTTGGTCAACAGCTCCACGAGCGACAGTATTCTTTGCAGCCAGCTCAGCCAGCGATGCAGCCCCAGCTTGTGCAGGCAACCATGCAGCCGCAGCAACAGCAGCAGCAGCAGCAGCAGCAGCAGTTGATTCAAGCACAACAACAACAGCAACAACAACACCAACAGGTACATCTGCAGCAAATTCAGCAGCTGCAGCAGTTGCAGCAGCAGCTGCAATCCCAGCGGCATCTGGTCATGGAACAGCAACAACTCCAGCAACAGCATCAGCAGCAGCAGCAACAACAGCAGGCACACCAAGGTGCTCCACGAATGTAGACCCCATCAGGTTTAGGAGGAATTGTCTCCTAACCAAAGCATTTGTTTCATATCTCGTATCTCGCTTTTTTGAAAACTTGTCATTGCGTTCTTTGTTTCTTTCCTTTTCATTTTCGGGCATTTCTTTTTGTACACCACAATCATCACGTTTTCCTCGTTTTCGCACACTTTTGATGCTTCGTGTTGGCGTTGATTTACCATTGCTCATCAACAGCACGTACTACTCGACAAATTTTCAACCATTGCTGAGAACGCGGTTTGTTTTTTTCAGTCTGTTTTTTTTTTTTTTTTTTTTTTTTTTTGTATTCCGTCGCAACCGCTTCAAGGTGAGTTCATTGTTGCACGCGCATGAGGAACGCTCAGCACGCGCGTCTATGCTCGCAGCACAAATGCGTGCAATGCACAATGCCAGAGAGCAGTGAAGGGGGCGGAGGTTGCCACTCGGCGAATTCTTTGCAACCGTGGGAAAAAAGGATTGACGAGACATGTCGCCCGCGCCCGGCTTTCTCACTACACGCACTCCACCACCGTGTCTCAGCATCAGAGACATGGAATCTGCCTGCTTCATTGCAACATGCATGCTTCGTCATTGTCGACAAACTGGCTTGCGTGGAAGTGGTCGATGTCCGAGGGGGGTCGTTAGGATTGTTTTGGAGAAAACAAAAACACACCATCTTAATAAGGACCGAATCCCACAGAATCACAACCTCACCTGCGCCGCCTGCAGCTCGACACACAGCCAGCTCGACACGAAAAGAGGGGTTAAATACAAGGCATTGCATGTTTGGGCCCCTTGGAGGGGGCCGGAAATGCTGGCTCGAGTTGAACGCGACAAACTCAGGGGTTCAGATGATTTTGCTGACGCCTCCATGTCGACGCTGCTGCACCGACGCACAACTCAGCATTCACTTGTGGCCAGACAGACGCTTTGAGGGACAGGGGTTTGTTCGATGGAAAACAAAAACGAGCAAAGGGGATTTGGCGACAGCGATGCAAAGAGTTTGACAAGTCCTGTTGCTGCGATGCATTACAACTCGTTGTGATCACTGACGCTTTGGTGCTCCAGTACAGCATGCGACATTGGAATGCCTCAATGGCAAAGCAATTCTGGAGCATTTTCGTGCTCGTTGGCTTTTTGGTCGGATCTGCGCACGCCGTCCAATACCGTGCAACATGCTTTGCACGCGCGTTGTATTTCACCCAAGCTTCTGGCTGCGCAGATGGAATCTGTACGTGCCGGTCCTTGGTTTGTTGTGAAATGCGTTTCCATATTCGTCCTGTGACGCTCATTGATTCTGTTTGCGAACATAAAGGCGACCCTTACTGCACTGGTTGGGTGAAATTTGCGCCAAATGGCAACGCCAACTGGAATGCGGCTGCCATTTGGCAACGCCAACTGGAATGCGGCTGAACAAGAATCCCACAACCCTCGTTGGAACATTGACATCAACTATGGCGCTGTGAGCAACTGGGCAGGGACGGTGCAATGGTATGTCGACTGCGACGACAACGATCCTTGGCCCGCTCCCGACGATGACATGGGATGGAAGACGTTCGATCCCATCACCCTGAACGGCAATGAAGAGCAAGGCAGCTTGGCGGCCAGTCCTTGGCAAGGTGTCAATCTTGGTAGCACGGCTGATGGCGAGTTCAACATTCCTGCAGTCTACGTCTACCATCGCGCCATGTGCGACCAATACTGGTACGGTGCTCGTTGCGGCGAGTACTGCAGAGTCAGCGATCCTCCGGCGTGCACCGCTTGCAATCCCTCGTCAGGCGTGTGCACTTGCAACGTTGGTTACCAGGACAAGGACTGCGGCACTTGCCAGTCAAACTACTGGCCAGTTGGCACGTCGGGACAAGCCGGCTTCCAATGCGTGTACTGTGTGGATACGAACACTGCCTCTGCGTGCTACACGTGCCAAGCTGGTGGTGTCAAGAGCTGCTGCACTGGCTGGAAGAGCACCAATTGCAACGTCAAGAAGAACTGCAACTCGTTCGTCGCGCCTCCTGCCAACTCTGTGGCCGTCGGCAGCACCTGTGTCTGCACAACGTACGGCTGCACCTGTCAGTACTCGTGCAAGTCTGGCTTTTCTGGTGGCTCTGCTACCACGACGTGCCAAAACGACGAAACCTGGCGCTGGAGCTCGACGCTTACGTGCACGGACAGAGACGAATGCGCTCCGGGCGGCGGCAACCAGTGCGCTCAAATCTGCACAAACACCATTGGCGACTATACCTGCTCTTGCAACTCGGGATACAGCATCAGCAACGCTGGCCGCGGTCCGAGCGGATGCACAGACCTTGACGAGTGCTCGACAAACAATGGCAACTGTGGCCAGAGTTGCAACAATACGCCTGGATCGTACTACTGCACGTGCCAGCCTGGTTGGCGTCTTCAACCAGACGGCAAAACCTGCCTGGAGATTGACGAATGCCAAGAAGGCTTGGACAATTGCGACGGGAATGCCACCTGCACCAACACCATTGGCAGCTTTGAATGCGCGTGTTATGCCGGATTCGTGGGCAATAGCACTGTTTGCACGGACGTCGACGAGTGCGCCACTTTGCCTTGCAGTGAGTTTGCTGACTGCGCCAACTTTCCCGGCAACTTCACTTGCACCTGCCAAATCGGCTATGCGGGCAACGGCGTCCAGTGCGTGTTTGGAAATTCAGCGGCTTTTGCGGAAAGCTCGCGGTTTGTACTCCTTTCTGACGGCGCATCGAGCGCCACCTCGCCCATCCAGTTGCGCGTTGAAATGGTTCCTGAATTTGACGGTACTCTTGTCCCCTTTAACGTGTCTTCGCTGGATCTCATCCTCGGCGTTGATTACACTGTGGAGACCCCATCTCCGCTGGTCTTCAATCTCGGCGACACATTCAAGTCCATTACGATTGTGGTGATAGGCAATGACGACCCCGAGCCTCTTCGGAGCCTCTTTGTTCAACTGCAAGATTCAGTCAGCGCGTTTAACAAGTCGACAATTGCCGTGGACGCCAATGACAATCCAAACGCAGTGGTACGCTTTTCCGCGGCGTCGCGCGCGTTTCGGGTGGACATTACCGCTGGCACCTACCCTCTCACGATTGAGCGGTACTCGTATGCATCACTCGTGAATGCCATCAATGTCACTGTGTGGTGCGATTTCCCAGTGCCCCAAAACATTTCGATCGTGATTCCCGCAAATCAAGTCGCAGCAACAAAGGTCATTCAGCTGCCATTCTCGTCTGTGCCTACTCTTGATGTCGAGCACACGTATACCATCGTAGATGCAACGGTAACTGGCAGTGGATCTGCCGCAGCTATCGGCTACTATTCGACTTCTCGCGTGACCGTGAACGCACACGACGACCCTTATGGTGTGTTTGGATTCAGCTTGACTCAAATGTCAGTGGCGGAGAGCTCTACGGGCTTTGTGCAGTTAAAGCGACTCAAGGGCACTCTGGGAACTACGGTCGTCCGCGTGCGAAGTTTGACTTTGAGCTCAAGTCAAGCCAATGGTGTGGGAATCGCATCCCCAAGCGACTATGCCGCTGTTTCCCAGCTTGTCACTTTCAGCGAAAACGATGTCGAGGCCCAAGTCTCTATTGCAGTGCTTGCCGATGGTGTCCCTGAGCTTGATGAAATGTTTGGTCTGCTCTTGGAGTATGTGTCCGGACCTGGCCGTGTCGATGCGACATTGGCACTGGCGTTGGTCACCATACCCGAGAACGACAATGCGCGTGGTGTTCTCTCAATCACGCGGGCGTCCAGTTGCTTTGAAGAGTCGCCCCTTGTTGGTGGAGTTCCTCAGCCGAACAACACGGTGGCGATCGAAGTCATCCGCTCTGGTGGTCTGTATGGTGCCATTTCATTTTCCTGGTCAATGCACAGCGGAAGGTTCAAGAACACGACGCTGTCCGCCGACAATCGAGCATCAGCACCCGAAGATTACACGGCCTCGTCAAGTCAAACAGTGACCATCGCTGCTGGTGTGGACCGTGCACAGATTCAAGTGATGCTGCTGGACGATGAAATCCCGGAGTTGGACGAGTACTTTTGGGTGCAGCTGGATTCGGCAAGCTCCGGCGTGACCATTGACCCAGTCAGCAACTTTACAGACGTTTGCATCGGCATGAACGACAATCCATTCGGATCTTTGGCGTTCGAGAGTGTCAGTCTCACGCCGAGTGCGACGGGCGAGAGCCGTCTGCTTGTTCGCGAGAGCGATGTTGTGACTGTCGCAGTTTCGCGTGTCGGTGGCACGTTTCACCGAGTGTCCGGAGTTGTCTCCATCGCGCATGAAACAACCAGCTCGGCTGATTTTGCTGACAGCTCCGCTCGCACTTTCACGTTTGAACCTGGACAAAGTACTGCGTTGGCATCATGGACGATCAGCGCAGACAGCGGAGAGGAGCCGACCGAGCTGTTCAAGCTTGTTTTGACGGCGAACGGAGCCAGCGCTGGTCAGGAAGCAACTTTTCTTGTTGGCGCGACGTCGTTGGACTCTACCATCCCGTGCGCTATTGAAGCCCACGATGATGTAAACGGCGTTTTGTCTTTTGTTCAACCGACGGTTTCTGTCGTCGAAGATACTGGCAAGGTCACTCTGACAGTGCAACGTGTCGGCGGAAGTGCCACAGAAGTCAGCTTCCAGACCAACGCAGTGCCTCTTTCTGCATCCGGCGACGACTTTGACGCGTCAAATCAAAACAACATGCACATCATGGCACCTTCGCAGACGAGTGTCTCGTTTGACATTGAGGTTTCAAAGGACAGTGCTTCTGAACTCGACGAGACCTTTACTGTGACGCTCGTCAACGTGACTGGTGCGACCTTGTCGTGGATGTCAGTGGCGACTGTGACCATTCTGAGGAATGACGACGTCAACGGCGTGATTGAGTTTGCTCCCTCTTCGGGACAAAATCCACTTGTGACAACTGTTTTCGAGGACACTGGCTTTATTCGGCTCCCTCTGTGGCGCGAGCTTTCACAAGTTGGTGTCGTCACATTGAGCTTTGTCGTGACAACCGACCTCTCGTTCGATCCCGCGTGCGCGTCTCTGTCGGGTTTGGGTCTGTCCTCAGCCCCAGCAAACCTGACACGAGATGTGGACGCGGCGCCGTTTGTGGTGACATTTGGAAACGGTCAAAGCGAGGCTGAGCTCGCGATACTGCTGCACGACAACAGCTTGACGGATGGCAGTCGAGCCATGTTCATCTGCCTGAAAGATCTGCAAGGAGGAGCGCGCTTTGGTGCCTCTCAAGCGATGGCAATTGTCATTCAAGACGACGAGCATGATACCAACGAATCAAGCTCCGCTCCAGTAGCTGCAGCTGCTGCAGGCGCAGCAGCGGGAGGCGTTGTTGTGATTCTGATCGTCCTGCTGGTTGTCGGATTGAGACGTCGTCGAGGACGTTCGAACTTCTCTGGAGCCTCCAAGGGCAAGCAGCTTTCCGGTGCAAGTGATCCAACTTACGAGGCGGTATCTCGTAATCGAATGTATGACAACACTTTACGAGTGCCAGATGATACCTACCAACCGGTACAGCAGACTGTGGTGCAAGAAGACCCCTACGAATCACTGCCACAACCAACGGCTCCCGATGAATCGTTGTTCAACACCGTTAATCCAGCTTGTGAGAAAGTCACCGAGGACAATCCCGATTTTGATGCAATGCGCGCGAGTTTCCGACCTTCGGTGCCCGTTGACAATTATGAAGACCTGTATATTGCGAGTGTCACCGCGTTCCAACAGCACCAGCGCTTCTCGAGGCATGAGCTGAAGCTCTCAACACAGCTTGGCTCGGGCAATTTCGGTGAGGTCTGGCTGGCGCATGTGCCCTCCCGATGGCTCGAAAAGAAGTCACGTCAATCTCTTTCCGTCAGCGCAACGACTGTTGCCACTGTTGCCGTTGCCGTCAAGACTCTGAAAGCCGGTGCCAGCGACAAGAGCAAGAGTGACTTTGCCAGTGAAGCCCAGATCATGCGCCGCTTCAACCATTCCAGCATTGTTTCCGTTGTCGAAGTGTTTGTCGAGGAAGAGCCCTGGATGCTCGTGCTCGAGTTGCTCCCGTACGGTGACTTGCGCAAGGTCATCCAGTCGTGCCACGCTCGTGGGTTGACACCAACTGCAGGAGAGTGCCTGCACATGTTTTCGCAAGTGGCGAGCGGCTTGTCATACCTTGCTGGGCTGCGCTTTGTGCATCGCGATATCGCAGCACGAAATTGTCTTGTGGGAGCGGACTTGGTGGTCAAGATCTCTGATTTTGGTCTGTCTCGCGAGCTTGAGGAGCAGAACTACTACCGCATGCAGACGCGTGGAGCGCTACCAGTTCGCGTAAGATGCTCGTCTTGGAAAGTTCGTTGTTGGTGCGTTTCTCACTCGGCTTGGTTGGATGTGCTTTGATGTGTGTTGTGTTTCTGCAAATTCAGTGGATGGCGCCCGAGTTTTTGCTCTTCCGCAAGTCGTCGCCTGCATCAGATGTCTGGGCGTTTGGAGTTCTCATGTGGGAGGTCATGTCAGCGGGCGCGTTGCCATACAAGGGCGTCGATTCCAAAGCCATCGTGCAGTTCCTCGAAAGCGGCCAGCGGCTGTCTCGTCCACCGCTTTGCAACGACAAGCTTTGGGCGTTAGTCTCGAGTTGCTGGACTTGGGAGGTGACCGACCGTGTTGATGCCGCACAGCTCTATGCTGCGTTTACGCGAATGGCATTCGACAACCCTGAATTGGATTCCGTTCGCGATCTCGGCGCGCTGCTTGCTTGAGTTGTTTTTTGATTGGACTCGAGTCTTGCCCCGTTCTATTTGTGCATGTTGTCTGAGGACTCGAGTCTTGCCCCGTTCTGTTTGTGCATGTTGTCTGAAATGTTGAGAAGAAGAACTGTTTGTGCCGTGATGCGCGAGTATGCCTTTCTCCACGAACAATTCACACACTTCTTCTCAACGACTCAACGACTGAGGGACACACATGGAAACGACAACAAACTCGCACACTCGGTCGCTCAATCACTGCAGCGACGAGCGAGATTGAATCTCGACTTTTTTTGAGCGTCGCCCCTTCGCTTCCCTTCTTCTCGTGCCAACCACCCCCCTCCCTTCATACGCAGTGAGTTGCAGTGCAGTCACACGATGGAAGTGGAAATGACTGACGGCAGCAGCCGGGGAGAGGCAGCACAAGTCGCCGTTGCTTCTCCTTAGAATCTTAATCGTCCAAACAACCAAATTCACCAGGAAATTTGCGGGTATACATTTTGCAATGGGAATTTTTCCCCGGTTCACTGAGGCTACTGTGCACCATCGCCCGCCGCCCTGACCCCATCAGGTTTGTACATGACCTGACAGCACCCCGTGGCTGCATGGGCGAGGACGGGGGACACCTGCATCGTCGGGTACGGATACCCCCTTTTTGTGTGTCGCAGCTGGTGACGAGGTCCCTCAAAACGGCACTGCAGCCCCTTCTACTGTACACCAGTGGAATGAGCCGATTTTTTAGATATAGAATCATGTGCGAGACGGCCAGGAGCGAAGCGCTGGAGGCCGCACCAGGTTTCGGGTCCGTCGCGGCCAAGCCGACCGCTCGATCTCGGCCTAGACCGCACCCACCGCCGATATTATGGTCTCTAAAAATCTAGTAGATGGGTCTGGTACCTCCATTGAACGGGCGGGCCTGGGGAATTGTCCGACTGCTGGATATGGACAGCCGTCCACGAGGCCTCAGGGCGCCGACTAGGACAGCCCGTTAGCGCCACCTCTAGTATAGAAAGTTAGCGCTTGGCATGGTGTATATGAATCCGGGATCGGTCGGGCGGTAGCGCTCGATAGCACGAAGAAGGACTGAATCGGACTTTCGAATTTCGTCCAAAACCTGCTAGCCCCGAGATCGATGCCTTTCACCAGCTCTGTCCGTGTAATCCATACATATTCCGATTGTTCAATGTCTGATGAGTTGGAAACCGTTATGGCGAGTGAGGTGCCGCACGATGCGTCCGACTTGGCTTCGCACTCGTATCCAGCCATGTAGACACCTAGGAGCTTGACCAGCCATATATCAATGTACTCTATACACTCTATAGTATCCGCTCTATATCGCGCGTGGACAGTGATCGTTGGTTTCTAGTTGATGCACCTGACCAAACATTCGACGGGCTTTAACTTGCGATTTCCGAGTCGCATCCATGAAATA